CTGGGGTGCGAGTGTGTTTCTCTTTCACTTTTGCAAAACTGGGAGGGGGATTTGGAGAGGAGGGACAATAGTAATCCAAGGCTGGGAAAAACCTCACTTGAAGAGAAATTGAAAAGACTGGGATTGTTTCTCCTGGAGAAAGAAGATGAATGGGACATGATAAAAGCATATGGTTTAGAACTACAGCTCCAGCTCTGTAGTCTCTATCTCCTAACACAAGAACTAGAGGACATTCAATTAAATTTAAAGGTGGGATATTCAAAACCAATAAAAGGAAATACTTTTTCACATAATGTGTAATTAATCTGGAACTCTCTGACACAGGAAGTCATTATGGTCAAGAATTTAATTAGATTCAATAAAGGGATTGGATATTTATATGGATAAAGAATAGGCAGAGTTGTCATAATTAGTGACAAAAAAATTTGAAAGTGATATTAAACCTCATGCTGCAGCCCCTAAGCCAATCTCTAACCTCTAGCGATCAAGGTGACTCTAGTGTAGGGGGTAGATTATTCCCCAGATGCCTTCTGGAGGGTTCTGGTGCCTGTCAAAGATAGGACAGGGGACTAGGTGGGGGACTGCTATTCTGATCCATGGTGGGTTTTCAGAAAGCCTTTGCCAAGGTCCCTTAGCAAAGGCTCTTAAGGAAACCAAGTAGTCATGGGATAGGAGAGGAGGTCCTCTCATAGCTCAGTAACTGGTTAAAAACAGGAAATAAAGGGTAGGAATAAATAGTCAGTTTTCACAAGGGAAACAGTAAGGTCCCCCAAGCATCTTTGCTGGGACCAATGCAGTTCTACATATTCATTAATGAGCTCGAAAAGGGAATGAACAGTGAAGTGACAAAATTGCAGATAATACAAAATTATTTAAGATAGTTAAGTCCAAAGCTGATGACAAAGAGTTACACGGTAATATCACAAAACTGGGTGACTAGGCAACTACATGAATTATGAAATTCAACATTGATAAATGCAAAGTAATGCACATTGTATAAAGTAGGGATTATTTTTCCCCAATGACAGGTTCTAATTTAGCTGTTAGTACTCAAGAAAGAAATTTTGGAGTCTCATTGGATCATTCTCTGAAAACTTGAACAAAATGCACAACCATGGACAAAAACACTAACAATGTTAGGAACTATGAGGAAAGGGATAGAAAATAAGGCAGAAAATATCATCATGCCACTGTATAAATCCATGGTGTCCCCATACCTTCAATACTATGTCCAGTTCTAGTCACCCCCTTTCACAAAAGATCTAGTGAAACTGGAAAAGGTTCAGAGAAGGGGAACAAAGATGATCAGGGGTATGGAATGGCTTCCCTATGAAGAGAGAGTAAAAAGATTAGGACTGCTCTGCTTAGGAAAGAGATGAGTAAGGGGGGATATTGTAGAGGTAGGTAAAATCAGGAATGGTGTGGAAAAAGAGAAATGTTTATCCTTCCCATAATACAATAACTAGGGGTCACCTGATGAAATTAATAGGCAACAGGTTTAATACAAATGAGGAAATACTTTTTCACACAATCCTCTATCTGTGGAACTCATTGCCATGGGATGTTGTGATGGCTAAAAGTATAACAGGGTTCCAAAAAGAACATAAACTTCCATAAAAAAGTTCAGAGAGGATAAGGCCATCAGGGGCTATTATCCCAGATGGTCAGGGATGCAACCCCATGCTCAGGGTGTCTAAACCTCTGACTGCCAGAAGCCAGGAGGGGAAGATGGGTGGATTGCTCCAGCTTCCCTGTTCTATACACTCCCCTGAAGCTCTGGTATTGGCCACTGTCAGAAACATTACTGGGCTAGGTGGCCATTGGTCTGACCTGCTATGGCAGTTTTATTGTTCTTAATTCCTACGTTCACAGAGAGACCTTTTCTCTCAAGTGTTTTGGCAGAAGCTGGAGTGAAATAGGGTGCTAAAACTTAAAAAGTTTAAACAGACTGATTAAAAACCTCTTCTCTCAGGTGCTTAGGTTTTGTTTGTAATAGTCACCCCATTAATTCACCAGCAAAAAACATGTAAAATGAGTAATGGTTTTAATATAAAACAAAAACAAACTTTCAGGCCATCACAAATAAAGGGCACAAAACTAATTTTAATGTGTCCTTTTCACATTCTGCTGCAGAGGGGGAAGGTGGGAGAGTGAGGGATAAGGGTAAAAAATAAAGTAATTGAAGTTCTTAATTTCATTTATTTGTTTTCAAACATTTTGATTTTCATGTTCTGGATTTTTTAATTTTGTTGTGAAGTCTTCCATAGATAAACTTTATCATGACAGTTGTCGATCATCTCTAACTAGAACCACCTGTACATAACTGTGTATTTTTAAAGCTGTAAGCATATAGCAAGTGTGGCCAAACCACAGCTCATGAGCCACATGCAGCTCTTTTACAGTTAAAGTGTGGCTTGCTGAGGCACCCCCTCACACACACACCCCCAATTCTCCATCTACCAGACTGGTGGGGGAGCTTGGGGCTTTTGCCCTGCAACAGGGTGGTGGGGCTAGGGGCTTCTGCCTTGCAGAGAGGGGGGTCTCACGGTTTTAGCCCCATTGGGGGGTGGGTGTCAGAGTGAAGTCCTGTGCCCCAATAGGTGCTGCCCTGCGGGGCAGGTTGTGCCTGTCTTGTGGCTTTTGAACTTCTGAAGATTATCATATGCAGCTCAGAGGGTCAGTAAGTTTGATCACCCTGGCATATAGTCACAGATCTTCAAAGGTATTTAGGAATAGGAGTTAGGTGCCTAAATATCTTTGAGGATCTGGTCCATAAATTCCCATTCAAGCAAAGTACTTAAACATGTGCTTAATTTTATCTACAATTCATAAGTTTAACCACAATCTTTGAGTTGGGGACATAATGCCTGTGCTTGCAATTCAAGATCTAGTAACCTTTAAAACTATAAACAGTTTGGGCCCCAGCTCCTTCAGAAAGCACCTTGCCTGTTAAGTCCCATCATGGTAAGATTAACTAAGGCAAACTTGCTTTCATTTCTAAACCTGGGGGTGTTGGAAAATCAGAGGTGCCCTAGGATGGTCTTTCATTCTGTACTTGTACCTGTGAGCTCTTAGGAACCTCTTCTGCCAAACTCTCTGCTTTGGATGATTCAGGACCATGAAGGTTTTGTGTGGCAGCCACAGCACAAATAATAGTTTGAGACTTTGCAATTGGTAGCTTTATATTCCAGTACATTTTCACTTATAATTGGGTAAGGAGCCAGCTTCCATGGCAAGGGTCCTGAATAACTTACTAATTATGTAAGGGGCTTGGGTAGAGAGAGATGAAAATGCTTTTGCAAGAGGCAGGTGAGAATCCTGGTGGGGAAAGATTGATGGTAGAGGATCTAAAGTGATGGCTATGGGATAAAAAGGTTTGCTTTCTAAAAAACAAGTCCATTTGAACACCTGAGGAGTGAGGCATAGACACCGAGTGCATGTGTTTTTGCAGAGAACCAGGCAACATAAAAAGGAAGAAAGTATTTTAAAATCATGTACAGGAAAAATATCACTCAGTCAGCTTTGGGTATAAGTCAGTGTTAGTTTAAAAATGGAAATACTCCCTTGCTATAGTGTTTCTAAAAAGAGTTTATCTGTAATGTCCCAGCAAATATTGATCTTAGATAACTCGGTTTCTCCGCTTTGCCTATGCCAACAGGAATGTTACACACCTCAGTGCAGCTATGTAAGTGTGTGAAGTCCCTCTCTGCCATGTCTTTTCAGTGCAATTGGGAAGGAGTAGCAAAGAAAGGAGGGTTATGGCTGCTATAAGCAGAAATACAGCTAAAAGATCCAGTGCAGCCCCTCTTGCTGATGGAGAAAGGGTATGAAAACTGCTCAACTCTTTCATCTGACAATATCCATAATGAAACTTGTGTGATGCTAAAATATATTTCACTCCAGGAAAGTCAGCTAGTGGTTAGGGCTTAACCAAAGCCAAGTGAGCAAGCTTTAGTTTGAGTTTTTTTCTTACTGCTTTCTCCCCCGACAACGCACATTACATCAAGTGAAGACCAGAGAAGATAATACTAGCAGGGTGAGACACCCAATGCTCATAGCTGCACTAGAGTGTGCCAAGAGAACAAGTTTTATTCTATCTTCTTGCTCAAGGTTTTATTAGGACTGCCTCAGGCCCCCAGTTATTAAGAACAGTACAGCATGTGCCCTAAGGCACATCAGGAAGGGTCTCCAGCAGCCAATAAAAGGGAGGGACAGTAGTGGAGAATGGCTAACTGGATGCTAGATAGACACTCATGGTAAAACCACTGCAAAAGATAAGCTGGGTGGCCTAATCAAAAGAGCACTCCGACTTAGGGAGCTAGGTTCTATTTCTGGTTCTGCCACTGGTCTGCTGGGTGACCTTGGGCAGGTCACTTCCCCTCCTTGTGCCTCTATTTCCCTATATGTAAAATGGTGATGATAATACTGACCTCCTTTGTAAAGAGCTTTGAGATTTGCTGAGTATGAGGGCTACATATTATTTCTCAGGAGTTAACACAGAACACCAGGGTTGTAACCAATAGGATTTTATTCCATTTTTATTTAAACCAAAAAACACCTGAGGTACAGTACACAAAAGTGTCTAAAAAAAATAGTTTAAAATTAATAGCTTTGAAGATTTGGGAAATTTTTAAATAAGAGCTTTCAACCTAATTTAAAGGCAAATTGTAAAGCAATAATACCTTTGTACACTTCACTGCTCCTTTGCATATGAAGGTAGTCTCTGTGCTGTCCTTCATCTTACCCCCAAGTTGTTTTCACTAGATATCAGGATCTGATTCTCTTTTGGTGAAGGACTCTGGCGAGTCTTTATGGTACTTGAGTGGTGAGAGCACAGCTCAAGCTGAAAGCTCTCCCAGCCCTCCTCTGAAGAAGGGGATATTGAGCCTTGGTCAGAGGCACCTTTCCACCAGGAGAGCCACAGCTCAAGTTTCAGCACTTATCTGTCATATCCTCAGTTTAGTCAGCCAAAGTCCTCCAGCAAAAAGAACAAGTCATGTAGGGAAAGGGAGGTTCTGAATTCGCATCAGAAAGGAACAGCACAGGACACAGTACTTTGCTATACAGTTCATCTTCAATTTCAGAAAACTGACATTAAGGCTGATGATCAATACTGTGTTTGTAGCTTTTACCATAAATGGTTACAGGATGTTCATCAGATTTTCATATATCTAGAAGGATCATATAAATCATGTTAAGTGATTAATCTCCTTGCATTGCAACTAGAGTGTTATTAAATCCATCTGTCACTGTTCGTTCTGCTGACCCTCTGTAATAGCAGACACTGCTCCTTGGCCCTTATTCACATCGCTGATGCACACCCATAGTCCGTCTACTGATTCCTTCCATAAAGTGACCTGAAAACAGATCAAGAAGGAGAAGAATTAGCCTTAGTAAAATACCAGTACTCTTCCATGCTACCCCACATGGTCTTTCCCCACCACTGTTCCTTTCGTCCGCTTTTTAAAAACCCCTCTGCATATTGCTGATTCCGGTCACCTCTTGATATGGCTCCTTAATTAACCACATGATTGCGCCTAATGATAAAAGGTTCTTCATAATGCTCTCAACCCAGACAACTATGGACATCCTAATTCATAAGTTCTGACAGTTATAACTGCACAAGGAAGGGATGGTATGTTAATATCCTACATAAGACGCTAACTGAAGTTATATGTATAAGTCTTATTCCACCTGCCATCAAACAATACTGGACCGCAGTTCTGATTATGCTGCATCCCACAGAATGCTGCATTTCCATGCCCAAGAAAGGATTGACAAACTGCAGTGCTAAGTAGTTGAACAGGAGTTTGGCCTTTCTGATGAAGAGAACAGGAAAGGTAATGTACAATAAATAGGTAGCACTAGAATACTTAGGATAAGAAGGTTCCAAGATCAGAAGAAAGACTTAAAACACCTCACTTAGATTCATGTGTGACTGATGTGAAAAATGAAACCTAATACAAGAGACTGAATTCCCAGATCAAGGTAGTCCTCTCAGTGTGATGCTACTGCTGACCATCTCAGTTAGGTCAGGGTAGCTGGTTAACTGACCAGCAGAATCTGGACAGTGCAATTCCCTCCAGAACAAATTCTAACTACACCCCTTCTCAAAGTGAATGTACACTGGAAGGACTGTATTTTTCAAAATACTCCAAAAAATTTAGCTCTCTAGTGTTTTAAAAATCAGGTGTTTAACTCTTTCACGGAATGAAAGAGAATCTTATTTTCAAACTGGCTTTAAAGTATTTTAAGAGGACTGACTTTTACATCCAGTAGAGACAAGAATGAAGAAAGCCCTTAATGCTGGACTGGAGACTACACCAGAAGTCATATTCCTGATATGGCTCAACTGAAAATTTGGAAAACGCACCTAACAGTTCAGAGCTTAGGTTAGCATTGTGCTCCATCAGTTAGCTCTACTGAGAAGAGCCACATGCAAAGTTCAAGTCACAGCACTCACTTTATTGTCTCCTCCTGACACAGCAAGAATGTTTGCAGTAATAGACCAGCTAACGTGCCAGACTACATCATTGAACTTGTGCAGCAATTTTGGTGACCATGAATTTCCAGAGGCATCGTCGCATGTCCAGATGAACACTCTGCCATCCTGGGAAAAAGCAAAACAAGTCTGTAGAACCAATGGTGGCACATCGCAATACTGAAACAAGATTATCTGGGCTTTATAGCTGCACTCTGCTCACTTCAAAAAGCAGCTATAACATAATCTGAAAAAACACAGTCATTTTATGTGCATTTGTTTAAAAACCACCGTGACGACAACAGTTATGGACAGGTTGGGGTTTTTTTTAAGAGGTCTAAATGAAAAATGCAGAAACATTAAAGTGCTGATCGGGTCAGAAAAGTAGCTATTGACATGTTCCTCCTCAAGATTTCTGCTCTCTGAGCATTCTGGGTCACATCAGCTGAATTTTCTGCCATAAATACGTTCTTGTTACTTTTTATTCTGCCAGTCTTACAAAGCGAGCTGGTTCTTCTCTGGCACATGCAGCAATGGAACTGTTCAATAAATACCAGTTGGAAAATCTTTATTACTGCTGAGGATATAGGAACCTGAAAGGAGGACTGGACCCTCAAATCTCCAAATCTCAGGTTGTTTGCAGGGCTAACAATTAGGGGGGGAAATATTTTTATTTGTGAAATGGGGAAGTTTGATCCCAAGTCATTAAGAGCTTTTCAGCTTAGAACCACACTTCCTGATGGGACTCCTGTACCCACTTTTCCTTACTCTATCAAATGGCTGTCTTTGCTGCACTGATCTACTCCTTCATTCTTGTCAAATATTACGTCTGTTAAGCATCTGAGCTCTTAAACTCTGTAGAAATTTCTTAAGGGAAGTAGTGGAAGCCTAGGACAGCTAAGTCCTGATGGGGCACAACATTCTAGAACAATGGATTGGCATGACAACTAGTTAGAGATGAAAAGCTATGTTATCTCTCCTACTTGATTACCTTTCATACAGCACAGCAATCTTGAAATGGGTGGCATTGTCGGAGCCACCATGTTCCTCACGGATGAGAGTCTTACCTGTGAACAGCTGGCAATGGTACTTGTTGGCAAACCTATGGAGGGAGCCCAGGCTACATCTCGGACCCAGTCACTGTGAGCCTCCAGCTTCTGTTCTTCCTTCCACTGGCCATCTTCCTCTCTGAAGGGATTGTAAGACATATTCATGCAAAAAAATGAGCAGCGGCAACATCCCCAACTTCTCTGCTTCTGCCTTCCATCTCCCATTTTGGAAGGTATTATTTTGTAATGCATTCAATACTCCTGAGAGGGTGTCTGATTTATCCATAAGGCTGGCAACATAAACATCCCCTTCTTCTCCCCCTCAGTGTAACACAGGCCTGACTTGAAGGGACAGTTGCTCTAGGGACAAGAAGAGAATTCAGTTTCCATGGTCTGTTCACCTCTTGGCTCAACAGAGTTGGAATTATATTCCAACAACTTCAGACATAGCCAGTGAAAAATAAGTTCAAAGTATATCTGCTTCTCACTATATAAAGTGAAGCAGGATTGTGTTGAGTATTAACCACCATAATAATGCAATAGGATGCAAAAGTCATGGAACTGTTAAGAGAAAAGCTTTTAAAGCATGGAAGGCAATATGGAATTGCTTAAAATATTAATTGAGATACCAACGATGGCATAAAAAGTCTATTTGGGGGATCAGCAAAGAAACTGTTCCCTTTTACAGGAAGAGGAAAGAAACAAAGTCTCCAGTTCAGACAGTGGGGATACTTACTTCCAAATCTTGATGAGGTTGTCACAGCCACCCGATGCAAATCTTTTGATGTAATTTGGTTTTTGGCCAGATGGCTGGTCTATAAGGCTTCCTGGTACAACTGCAGGGGCCCAGCTAACAGCATTACAGCCGATCTGTGCAAGAAGAGAATTTCACTGTTCGATTTCTTACCCTTTAAAATTAAAGATGCTGGAGTTACACGAGATAATAGCTCTACCTTCCATACAGCTCCAGGAGAGCAGGCATCCAGGGATGACTTCTGAATCTAAGTTTCCTACACAATGCTGTATTAAAATCTGATGAGCAAGCAGACCAGCTACGGCCTAACCTCAACACAACAGTTACTGAGAAGGCCAGGAATGGCCAGGAGGGCAGGGGGGGGGGGGGGGGGGGGAAGGTTTAGTGGACAAAACCTTTCACATGCAAGTGGCTAGATAAACCAACTTCTGTTTTTACTAAGACAAGGTAAAGCTGCACAATGCTGCAGCTTTGAATGACTATTGTGAAAGGCAGCATTTGAAGTCACTGGGCAGAGCTGGCACTGCAGTCATATCTCATTTCCATTTTATTTTACTGTCCACAATGTACAATAGCTTCCCGCATATATTTTACTTTTAACAAAGACTCTGCCATGTTTCATCTTGGGAAACCTCCTCTCCTCACCAAGTGTGTGTCACTTCACTGTTCTCTGTCTTGACTTAGAGTCTATAAGCCCTTTGGGGCAGCAATAGTGTGCCTATAGAGCAACATGCATGTTCATGGAGCTATAGAAATACACTTACAGTATGTGCATTGCTGATCTTTTTGATTTCCCACTGCCCATCGCCGGTGTAGCTCAACAATGAAATGGCCCCATCAGAGCTCCCGCAGGCCAGGATCAAGCCATAGTCATGTGGTGCCCAGCAGACGGAATTCACTGTCAGAAACATATTGAAGATTGGATTACTATCTGGTAACTGACTGGTATGACACTTTGGAAGCCAAGGGTAAGGCACTAAGATGAAGTAAGTTACTTTTTTAAAATCAGCTTAAGGGTCCTTATTGAAGATAAAAATGCTGCAGGGATTTTTTAAGAATAGTTTGAAATCCTGAGTTTCTTCTCTGACAGCTGTGACCCCAGAACAGAGCCAGGAGCTGCGTTTTAGGCATCAACATCAGATTCAGAGGAAAACAGAACAGCTATTTTGCTTTAAACCATATTTGTTTGAGCCAGGTGAGTACTTAATGGGAGCACAGCATACTACTGTGGTCTTCAGTGTTCCAAAACCTTGTTCCTTCCTACCAGGAATGGGAGTGATGCAGAGACTGTGTGTTCAGCGTTGGCAGAGAAGAGTACTTGAGAGATTCTGGCCAGCACACAACAACTAGTGTGACCCCTTGCCACAAACTTCTTGTGATGATCCCTTGAGGGAGGCGATGGATGTGTGCACAGAGACCTCTTCAGCCAAAACTGCCCCCAACACCACAAAATGCATTTATCTGTAGTTTTTGTAAGTCTACAGTCATATTCTGTTAATGAGCTGGAATCTTAAACCTTTAGTGTAGGCTTCAAGTCAGGCTCAGCTTTAGAAGCAAGTACTTCATGTTATCCAACAGCAGCTCAGTGGGCCCAATAAAGAGAGGTACACACCAAAGACCCGATACTGCAGTCCTTACTCTAACTAAACTGACAACGCATGAAGCAGCAAGATGGGGCGCCTATATCTTTTCCACTCTTCCTCAGGAGGCTGAGCACAGCAACCCCCAGGGTCTTGTGGGTTTTTTAAAAAAGGGAGACCGATGATCCAGAAAGGCCTGCCACTCTCACAGAACAGCCTCTTCATAAAAAACAGCACTGTAAACCAACCCCACCTATTCTGAAAGCATTCCTGCTACAGTGACCATATACCATTCTGTTTGTAGTGTGCTGTATTATACCCATCTAGCATGATCGGCCTGTAAGCTTGTTCAGTTAGGGATCCATTGTTGCCTGACATCTCACATAGCACACAATGCCATTCGTAGGATGTTCATGTTATATATAATTATAGAATGAACTATCAAGCCAGAGATTGGCCACATAGGGAAGGAAGCACTATATTGTATAACTCTTCTCCATGCCAGTTTAAGATGGTATTTTATGAAATGGTCCTTTTTCCCCCTTATTTAATAAAAATGTTAAAATTTTAAACCCCAGTCACCTTCCAACACCCAAGATGGTCAAAGAACATACACACTGTTATATGACAGATGAACAAAAAGATTAATTAAGATACAACTTGATCCCCTCTGCCCATTTGCATGGTTAGAACACTCCACGTACCCGAGGAGTCATGCCCAGTGTACTCATATGTCTTTTCCCAAGTGCCATTTTCTTCCTTCCAGACAATAACTTTCCTGTCGTAGGAACACGAGGCCAGAATATTTCCATACATGGGGTGAGCCCACGCAACCTGCCACACAGGACCTTCATGGCTATAAGAAACAACATTAGTTGTGAGAGATAAGGAAAGCATGGCATTTGAAGAGGAGAAACCCCTTTCAATCTTGCCTTTTTCACAGCAGACAAATTGCAAAGCAAATTTTTTCATAAGTAATGACCACCAGACACCTCTGTAGTGTCAAGATGAAAGTGGGAGAGCAATGAAGGGTGCAACTTGGATGCTTTGGTTAAGATAAAAACCTAAATATTCATTCACACACTAGTTACTAAGAGCGCATATTTATTTCTAGACTACCAGAGATGTCAAGGTTTCAAGTTATTTTTAACTTCCTTGCTTTCTCCACTCACAGTAATACAAGAAAAGTTTAAAGACAGCCAGCCAGAGTAACTACTTCCCAGGAGGAATCTATAGTGCACACTGCATAGTACAGGTATGAATTATTACGCACATCATTTTTTTTTTTTAAAAAACCTCACCTGTAGAATAAATATAAAATTAGAAAATTAAAGTTAGTTTAAGCTTGGTTAAAGAAATGTGTTGTAAAGAAAGGCCTAACTAGCAAGTAAAAGAAAGAGAGTTTGAAAGAAATTAATTATAAGGCCAGAAGCAATGAAGTGCAGAGGATGTCTGATAGGGTTGACTGCAATAAGACAAACAGAATCGGTCTTAAAAAGAGCCAACACAGATCTTCTCACCCCACATGCCATGTTATTTCAAAAATTAGGGCCTGTGTGAACCCAGGTGCAAAGGAGAAAACAAAACAAAAAACTGTTGGTCAACAAAAAGGAGTGGGAAGAGGTAGAGAGAGGAAAGGCTGTAAATCTTATCTGGATTAAGACTGGAAATAAGGGTGAACTGTCTCAATTTGGTTTTTAGCTGAAATCAGTAATTGGCAATGACACCTATTGTTTGTTAAAGGGTATAAAAAGTAAACTCAAAAGGTTCATTACTAACACCTGCCTGACCACACTGGAGCCAACCAATATGTGTCTAAGTCCCACCAGGTTTAGCCCATTTGTAAGAATTTTGATCAAACACTTATAAACTTTTTGTTACTGTTTGGATGTGGTAAGTTGCTTATTATTTACACTTTTTAGGCATGTTTGGAGCAACTGTATAAATATCATCTGGTCTTTTGATTTAATAAAGGAATTTATGGTTCATTAGTGTCTTGATAATATCCTGCATAAATCATAATAATTCCAATATCGTCCCACCAAACAATGCCATGCCAATAATCTATTGATTAGTTACATGAGATTCTTTTTCACTTCACTTACTCACCCTCTCAGGTCAGCTATGAGGATCTGCCCTCCATTCCTTACATCAAAGATTTTTACAGATCTGTCAGAGGAGCAGGTTGCTAATCGAGTACCATAATAATCCATCTGAGCATCATGCTGGAAGATAATGGAGATTCCCATTAACATCTGCATACTCTTGCTGCATTAATAAATATTATAGATTTTATGCTTTAAAAGTAGCTGTAACAATTGTGAATTGTTTACCAAATTAGAGCAGTAGGATAAAAAGGTTAGATAGCTTATAAATTATCTTGTTCACATAAATCATCTCTTCAAACAGAGATATTTTCTTGCACTAAACACAAAAGAGTTAGCTATTAAAATACAGATATTAAAAGTATTTTACACTTCTCTCTGACTTGGGTATATCACTCCACTACAGTAAAAAGTAGTAGTGTCTGGTAGTTAGAGCAAGAGACAGGAAGTTGGTACTCTGGGGTTCCAATCTCTGCCACTGACTCTGTAGCGCTGGGCAAAGTTACTTAATTTTCTTTATTTCAGCTTCCCTTTGTAAAATAAAAAATCCTGACCTACCTAACCTGTGTACTCAGAGGCTGCATTAATCAATGTTTGTAAGTCATTTTGAGACCCTTCCATATAAAGCACCAAAGAAGTGCAGAGTTATGGAGGGAAGGCCCTGGTCTTTTGGGTAGAAGACTCATGTTCTGAAGTGCTATTATATTCCTTATCTAAGGATGCATGTACACATTAATCTTCCTCAATTTCATTCTTCCGAGTTCTCTAAGCAACAGCCTACATTCTTAGGGTTGTTGGTTTTGTTGTTGTTGTTTGTTTCTCAGCAGCAAGTCCCTGACATCACATGAGAGCTCTACATTGTTTCTCCTTCCTCAGCCAGCTCCACTTCCCTAGTTATCACCAAATGAAATAGGCTTAACAGCTTTCTATACCGTCTTTTGCTTTCTTCCATCCAAAGCTGTAACACATCCCCTTACCTCCCTGTGTGTACTAACTCACTCAAGCTGTCACTAGGAGGTGCCATAAAGAACCTCATTGAAGTCACTGGGATTGCACGGGTAACTGGGAGCAGCATTTTCCCCACTACTACACTTAGAAAAAATCAAAACAGTTTTGCTTTACCGAAGAAAAAATCCTCAGCTTTTATTTCAAAAAAATAAAATACTTACAATCATGTCCTCATGAGAGGTGTCCACAGTGTTAATTACTGACACCTGGGGGGGGAAATAATTTATATTTAGTGCAAATGCCAACTTGGAGACAGAAACTAACCTATAATCAGAGGCGATTTTATATTAAAATACCTAGGTAAGATGTTTTCACCTATACTTCACTAAGATATAACCCATTTCCATTCAATAAGAACTTTGTCTCAAGTCAATCTTAGTTTATCTTTGCAAATGTTGTAGTTAAGGTGGAGAAAGTACAAATAGGCATGCTTTGTTCTGGGTTTTTGTGTGAATTTAGCACTGACTCGATCCTCCCTCGAGAATGAAGTCCTCTCTTTTATTTATGAAAGAGATAAAGCCCAGGCTCTGGCAAGGCAAGCTTCCCCACATTATCCTACCAATATTTTTGCCTCTGTCCTGGAAGAACCACGTCTAGAGGAGGAAGAACAGCTTGATCTCCCTGACTAGTCTTTGTGTCATAGTGCCAAGACTTTGGAAAACTGAAACCAAACTCATTTCACAGCCATGGCCTGTACAGCCATCAGCTCCTAGCGATTTCAGCTCCTTAGCCAGACTGGACATGACGTAGCAGTGCAGAAGTAAAGGATTCTACCCATCAATCCCTTGAACTGTTCAGTCCCCCTAGTAAACTTTTTGGGGATGAAGGACAAGAGGATATCCTCACCAGACATTCAGAATGCAGGACTTCCCCACATTCTGACTTCATTCACCTGGCACTGCTCACTTCAGAATACCAAGGAGTCCTGTTTGGTTGGCAGGGTCAGCCTTTTTGCATCTATTCTGCATCTTGCTAACAGTCCCTTTGTAAGAAGGCAACAAGACCACTAGGTAGCAGCTAAAATAAGGGGCAGGAGCGCCAGAGTTTTTACTCCAGTTCAGACAAACAGGCCACAAATAAAGTCACTTCACCTCTCTGTACCTCACCTGTAAAATACAGTTCTCCAGTCTGTGAAACAGGGTTAATGATACCAAACATCCCTGGGGTGTAAAGTGCTATATAAGGGCGTGTCTACACTTGCAGTGCTGCACCAGTATAGCTGTAGCATTTCAGTGAAGACATGACTATGCCAACAGGCGAGCTGCTACTGTTGGCGTAGTTAATCCACCTAAGTGAAAGGCAGTAGCTATGTCAATGGGAGAAGCCCTCCTGTCGGCACAGGGCTGTCTACACTGGGGGTTAGGTCGGTATGACTACGTCACTCAGGGCTTGTCTACAACGCAGCTTTTAGCGACAAGGATGGGTCGACACAGCCTTGTAGCTAAAAGTCAGCATGTGTGAACGCACTTTTGCCGACAAAATACTTCAGCAACACTTTTGTCTGGGGGGGGGGGGGGGGGGAGCTTTTTTTAAGTACCCACAAAAGACGAAAGTTTTGGCAACTGTGCAGTGTAGACAAGCCCTCAGAGATGTGGATTTTCCACACCCCTGAGCGACATGGTTATATCAACACAACTTGGTAATGCAGATGAAGCCTTAGGTATATAGCAGACATATATCACATGTCAAAGACAAAGCCCAATATGGCTGTTAAAGCCGATGTATCTTCTAAGGAGGCGGTGTAGCTTGTGGGACAGCCAAGAGCAGCAGCCGCTGGGGCTACGCTTCTGCTTCCTCTTCAAATAAAAGATTTATTTTATCTTCTCTATCCTGCACTCGACTCCCTCGAATTTTTTTATTTGCTACCAATCACACAACAGGGTAAACAGGAGCACAGGGGCGTAAGGGGGCAGGGGAACTACTGAACTGGAGCAGCAAGGGGCTGCTGGGGCATGGAGACATCACCCGGCCAGGGCCCTGCAGGCGGGAGTTCGCGAGCCTACGGCAGACGAGGAAGTGAGGGGCCCGCCCTCACTTCAGGCCAGTGTGAAAGCGGCGAGACAGGCCAGTGGCGGGGGGGGGGGGGGCGACAAAACCCCCCCCCGGGGGGCAGCGAGAAGGGCCCGTCCCGTGGGAAGCCCGGGGTGGGGGGCAGGCAGGGGGCCCGGGATGCGGGGAGAGTCCCAACTCCTCGAGGCCCTGGGGCACTGTCTCCCTCCCCGGTGGAAATCAGCCGCTCGCGGGAACCTCACCATGGCGGCGGCACTAACGCTGCTCTGGCGGCGGGACGGGACAGGCTCCTGCGGCTGCTACCGGCGGTTCTCAGACGTGGCAGCTCCCGGTCCGGCGATGAAGCCGCCCCGGTCGGGAACAGGAGCCCCAGGCTCTTCTTCCCGTCACGCAAAGGTTCCGCCTGCCGCTGAGGCCCAGCTCCCCCCACGTCCCGCTCAGGGCGGTCACTCCCCCCTGCAGGATTGGCTTCCTTACCCACTGCCGCCTCACAGGCCCTGCTTCACTACTGCCCTGCCCAGCCCAGCGCCGCCTGCAGGCAGGCTTAGCTCCTCTCGCTCCAGTTCTCTAGCCTGTGGGGAGGATCCGCCTCCCCAATATGAAGTTAATGAGACAAAGGGAGGGGGGAAGCTCATTCCTAAAACATTCCTCGCAGTGAGGCAAAACTTCCCAGGGGGCCAAATAGCATGTCCTGCTAGATTTCCCATTTCGCCTTTAAAATGGACCAGCCACCTCAGGCGTCTGTCCCTTTACCCAGATTAAGGGCTTGCCTACTATGTTACCCAGATACAGAAGCCAAAAACCAGACAGGTGGCAATCCTAGGACAGGTAGGGTAACCAGACAGCAAATGTGAAAAATCAGGACAGGGGTGGGGGGTAATAGGAGCCTATATAAGAAAAAGACCCAAAAATCGGGACTGTCCCTATAAAATCGGGACATCTGGTCACCCTAGTTGTTCCTGATTAACTCCAGGTGTGGACACTGAGTCTGGAATAAAAATGGCTCGTTCCTGCTTCGCTGAACCATAGAACAGTTAATTAGGAACAACCTCACATGTGGGCAAGCCCTAAAGTGCTTGTTTTGCTGTCCTGTTCCCATTAACTCAATGTCTTTGAGAGAGCAGCACTAGTGGGTTAGAGTTGGCATGAATTAACAGGGCCCAGCCATACTCTTTGAGATAGGCCAAAATCTCAACTGAAACAGTCCAAATTTATTGGAAGTTCACATCTGGCTAAAAACATTTTTATAATCAGCTGAAACAAAACCCCAGCTCCAAATATTTCTAAACTTTGGCCAGCATCCACTAGCCTCTCTAATAGGATTACCAACTTTCTACTCGCACAAAACGGAACACCCTTGCCCTGCCCCTCCTCCGAGGCCCTGCCCGTGCACTACTGCTTCTCCAAGGCCCTGCCCTCCACTCACACCATTCCCCCCTCCCTCTGTCACTTGCTCTCCCCACCCTCAGTCACTTGCTTATTTTCACTGGGCTGGAGTGCAAGAGGGGGTGAGGATCCAGCTGGGAGTGAGGGCTCTGGAGTGGGGCCAGGGATGATGGGTTTGGGGTGTTGGAGGGGGTTCTGGGCTGGGGGGTGGAGCTAAGGGGTTCGGAGTATGGGAGGGGGCTCCAGGCTGAGGCAGGGGATTGGGAGGTGGGAGGAGATATGGGCTCTGGGCTGGGGGTGTGAGTTCTGAGGTGGGGCCAGAAATGAGGGGTTCAGGATGCAGGAGGGGGCTCTGGGATAGGACAAAGGGTTGGGGTGCAGGAGGGTGAGGGCTCCAGCTGGGGGTGTGAGCTTTGGGGTGGGGCTAGGGATGAGGGGTTTGGGGTGCAGGAGGGTGCTCCAGGCTGGGACTGAGGGGTTTGAAGGGCAGGAGAGGGATCAGGGCTGGGGCATGGGGGTGGGCTCTGGCTGGTAGTATGGGCTCTGGGGATGAGGGGTTTGGGGTGCAGGAGGGTGCTCCAGACTGGGATCGAGGGGTTTGGAGGGCAGAAGGGGGGATCAGGGCTGGGGCAGGGGATTGGGGTGCAGGCTCTAGGCAGCCCATACCTCAAGCAGCTCCCAGAAGAAGCTGGCATGTCCCCCCTCCAGCTCCTCCACGGAGGTGCAGCCAGCCAGCTCTGCGTGCTGCCCTGTCTGCAGATGCAGGTTCCTGGCCAATGGGAGCAGTGGGGGTGGTGCTTGGGGCGGAGGCAGCGTGCAGTGCTCCCTGGCTAGGCAGGCTACACAAAGCAGCCGGAGTGGGGACATGCCAGCTGTTTCCCAGGAGCCGCATGGCATGGAGGCTAGCAGGGAACCTGCCAGCCCCCTGTACTGAGCTGCCAACCAAACAGTTATCAGCCTGGTCAGTGGTGCTGACCGGAGCCATCAGGATCCCTTTTGAACCGGGTGATCTGGTCAAAAACCGGACACCTGGTCACCCTATTCTCTAATACTACTGGTTGAGAGCCATGACTATAACCAGACCCTTAACTCCCAGTTTTTAAAATAACTGTTGAAAATTTCTTCCAGTTATTAGGACACCACAGTTAGCATCTAAAAGGTTAGCTTCTCAAAATTGCTACCTGTAAGGCCCCAATCCTGCAATGAGCTTCCATGCAGCCGCACAGAGCTCATGCAGCCACACAGAGCTCAGAGCTTACGGGAGGAAAAGTCTCCTGGATTCTAAATAAACGTAAAGTCTGCTGGTCCCTAAGACAGACTTTTACCCTTTTGCATCTCAAACCAATCAATAATTGGGATTTCTGTGACCATTGTGTGCAGAATAATTGCAAATGTGAAACCCTAGATGGTCACAGATTTGTCATGCTATAATAACTAAATTTTTAATCCTGATCCTTACTCCCAAAGGGCTCAGAGCACTGCAATAATAAGAAGGGGGAAATAATATATAATAAAATCACTTCTCTCCTATAATAAAATATAATGTTACTGGGCATCTAACACCAAAAATATATACACGGGAGAAGAAATAAATGTGGGGGCAAATAGTGGTCATAGCAGAAATCCTTTTGTAGGGGAGGGGGAATGTTTTGAGTTATCAGTTACAAGGAGGGAAGGTCTCTGACGGATGTAAAGGGGTAAGATGCAATTACTTAACAACTTAAGATACAACAGTGGGACCTTAAGACGATGTTAGCCCTTACCCCTAGGAGACAGTGCAGTCTAGTGGAGAGGTCCGTGGACTGGGAGTTAGGCATTTCTAATTCTGGCATTCGCACTGATCAATTTGGAGAATTTGGGTAAGTCATTTAATGTTTCTCTGTCTCAATTTCTCCATCTGTAAAGTGTTGAGAACAGGGCTGGCTCTGGCTTTTTAGCCGCCCCAAGCAAAAAACGCCCGGCCGGCCGGAGCAGTAAAGGGGATGGGGGGG